ATTTCTCCATGCCTCGTCCAAACATTATAGTGTGACATGAAACCCTTGTAAAGCAGGTGGGTGTGAAGGATTTTCTGGTCAGAGTAAGACTTCGTATTCCCATATTTAGGGCATGGACAACACATAAAACCATTCTGCTTGTTTGCCTCAGCCACTTCGAGAAAATTATGCACGCCCTTAATGTACTCGGAGGTGTGTCTGTCACCATACATCCATTGCCGGTTCATCTATGTGCATTATAATTATGTGTGTCAAAAGTAAGAAAATTAGACAAGTATCTATCTAAAGTAAGAAAATCAGACAAGTATCTATCTAAAGTAAGAAAATCAGAAAGAAGATAAGAACAAGAGGCTCGCCACGGTGGTGCCAGCGACGAGATCGGCGCGGGCGATCAACGGCGGTGAAAACGGACGGGGCGTGACGGACCGCTAAATCTAAAAAAATCTCAGGAAAAATGGAGCTCCGAGGTTGAGCTTCGAGAGGAGAGCTTAACTAGTGTGGCTCGGACATTTCATCGAACACCTCATGTGCATAGGAGGTGAGCTAGAGCACCCAAATGCTGTCCCCTCGCCGGCCTGAAAAAACAGAGCATTGTGGAGTGCTCTGCCATGGTGATGGGTATATATAGGCAAATTATTTGTCCCGATTCGTGGCATGAACCGGGACTAAAGCCCCCCCTTCTACACCGGTTCAAGGCACGAATCGATACCAATGGCTGTGGGCCAGGAGCGCATCCCATTGGTCCCGGTTCGTGCCTAGAACCGGGACAAATGGATCCAGACGAACCGGGACCAATGCCCACGAGGCCCCGGCCAGCCCCCTGGGCTCATGAACCGGGACTAATGCCCCCCATGGGTCCCGATTCGTGAAGAACCGGGACTAATGGGCTGGCCAGGCCTGAACCAAAGCCCTGTTTTCTACTAGTGTCACCCGCCCCATGAGTCGCTGGTTAGTGTTTGTTTGTGCTTCGTGTCGAGCGCTCTGCATAGTTGGTTGACCCGGCGTGTGCTTTTCGTTCATGTAGATGGAATTGAGCCTGTGCGAGAAGTTTTTGCTCTCTGATTCGTCCGATTCAGACGACTCGGATGTTGAGATGATGCTTTCAAACTTTCGGCAGCAGACATTGGTGATGGCTCTTGCCGTGAAGGAGCACGAAGACGAGAACTGAAAAAGGTGACAAGGATCGACCGTCGGGCATCTTTTCATTCCTCGGAATCGCCATCTCGGGAACGAGATGTTGATGCAAGACTACTTCACGGAGAATCCAACATATCCACCGCACCTCTTTCGGAGAAGGTACCGAATGCGCCGAACCCGCTTTGTGAAAGTTGTTCAAGCTTGCGAGGCAAATTGTCGGTATTTTACTCAAAGAAGAAATGTTGCGGGCTTGAAGGGATTTAGTGCATATCAAAAAATCTCCGCTGCTATGCGGGTGATTGCATATGGCGTTCCGGCTGACTATGCCGATGAGTACCTTCGCATTGGTGAAGATACCACAATTGAGTCAGTGCGTAGATTTGCCAAAGTGATCATCTGTGTCTTTGGTCCTGAATATCTTTAGGCACCCAACAAGGATGACACAAAAAAATTGATGGCATCTGATGAGAGGAGAGTTGGCCTGGCATGCTAGGTAGCATTGATTGTATGCATTGGACTTGGAAAAATTGCCCGAAGACATGGTAGGGAATGTATTTTGTCAAGTCTCGTGATGCAACAATTGTGCTAGAGGCCATAGCATCCGAGGATTTATGAATTTTTCATTGCTTCTTTGGTATGCCGGGCACTCTTAATGATACCAATGTGTTGCAACGGTCTCATTTGTTTGCTAGGCTTGCTAGTGGTGATGCTCCTGCTTGCAACTACACTATCAATGGGCATGAATACATAAAAGGGTACTATCTTGCAGATGGTATATACCCTCCTTGGTGCACATTTGTCAAGAGCATCAAAGAGCCCAAAATTAAAAAACAATGTGAATTCGCAAGGATGCAAGAGGCAGCCCGAAAAGACATTGAAAAAGCATTCGGGGTTTTGCAATCTAGGTTTGCCATTGTTCGTGGTCCTCCTCGTTTTTTGGGACAAGCGGACCTTGAAAAACATCATGACATGCTGTGTTATCCTTCACAATATGATTCTTGAAGATGAGAGAGACATGAACTTGGAGTTCTTCTACGACAATGTGGGTAGCCGTGTCAAACCAGCTAGAGACCCTAACCGCATTAGAGCTTTTCTTCAAACATACAAGGAGATTAAAAATGCAAACACCCACTTTCAGCTTCAGGAGGATCTCACTGAGTACCATGGGCAAAGGGCTGGACAGTAATAAACTCATTTTTCCATTCATTTGTATTTGTATATTCAGGACAAGTTTTGTATTGCATTATTTATATTTGTATTCGGTGATTTGAATAATTATTTGTAATGTGAATGACTTTGTATTCTGTTGGTATTGATAATTATGATGTGGTATTGATATTTGCGGACTGGCGGGATGCGGGATGCAGCGGTGCAAGAGCAGACCCACAAAGCCAATCCATAAAAAAATTATTTCACAAATATCCATTTAGGCTGTCCGCACCGGCCCACAAAACCGTTTTTTCCGCGAACTGCAAACGTGTTTTGCAGGCTGGTAGGATGCGGGGTTTGCTAAAGTTGCTCTATGGTCATGTCGAGATCTCTTATCCCCGGCAAACATCGGCTAAGATAAGATTCTTTTTTGCTTGGTAGTACACGTGGATGGATATGGTGCTTCCCAGACAAAAATCCCCTTCCAAGAATCAGTGTCCCCTAGCCCGTGCTATGCCGTGCTGCCGGCGGCCGCCGAACAAATCGGAGCGCGGCGGCGCCAGTGCAGAGCGAGTCTCTCCGACCTTCTCGACGCCCGGACCTCACCTAGCCCCTGGAGCTTGTCGGCGAGCCGGGCGCTGGGCCAACCACAAGGCAGCGCCGCCGGGCGCGGCGGGAGCCTCCCCGACCCCATTACCAAGGTACGAGCCTCTGCTTTCATTCTTCTTCAGAAGCTCTCATAGCAGATTAGCCACTGATAGGATGACTTTGCTTCCAATTAGCCACTGAAAGCTGTGGCCATTTAATGACATCTTCTACCTTCGAGATTTAAATGAATTTGTAGTAACATTTTGTTCTAGTTGCTATGGGATTCTGAGCCTCACACAGCTTCTTCTTATTCACACGACGCAATTGCGTGATCTCAACTTGTGCAAGCACAGTGCTCTGAATCTGAAACTGTTCTGAAACCATGCCATTGGCCTATCTGTTACAGACTTAGTCTTACAGTTACCATGTTGTTACATGATCTCCCTTTCGTTTGCATTTCTATTTCGCTATATAACCCCGGATTTTGAGCTAAATGCAGCCTCTAAATGCAGGAAATGAAATAATAGCTTGTATGTTTTCCGTAGAGCCGGGTTTTGAGTGTTTACAAATGCAAGGAAATGTGCAGTATGCTGTTCTATTTTCCGTTGAACTGAAACCACTTAGGATGTGTTTGTTTTGGGATTTTGTAACGTAACCTTATTACGCTGGTATCACATCCCGTCCAAATGTGTTTGGTTCGGTCGAGACGTAATCTGTTAACAGGGGTATCAGATCCGGCGTAGTACAAATCTGATTACGCCCGAAATTTCCTGTATCGGAAACCGTCTCTTTCCCGCACGAAGCCTCTTCCCACGATGTCGTCTTCCTCGCGGTCTCTTCCGCCCAGGCGCAGCCGCCGGTGCACCGCATCTTCCTCGCAGTCTCCTCCACCTAAGGCGCCGCCGCCTGTGCACCTTGATGACCGCCGGTGCACCTCGTCTTCCTCGCAGTCTCCTCCACCTAAGGCGCCGCCGCCTGTGCACCTTGATGGCCGTCGGCGAGCCGCCGACCACCGGGAACCTACACATGTACATGGCGTACATCGCCGGAGCCGATGCTCCCAACCACGGCCGCACGTCGGCTGCATAGACTGGGCCACCGGCCGGCCAGCCCGCCCAGTCCTAGCCCTGTATCTAACCTACTGATTGGAGCACGCACATGCACAGGAGCGCCGCTGTCAGCCACCGCTAGAAATCTGCTGGAATCAGTTAACGTTACAGTTCATAGAACCAAACAGAGTTTGATTTTCACCCATACCGTTTACAGTGACGGTGTAATTTGATTACGTTTGCGTTTGCGCCACTGCTCACGAACCAAACACCTCCTTAATGTGCAAAGGCCTAGGACCATCAGAGAAGTAGTACCATCCACTCTGTTCACATAGAAACTGCAGGGATACAAACTGCTAAGTGCTATGAGGCACCACCACATATTTCATTGTTTGCTGCAGTTCATGTGGTTCCATGGCATTAATGCCCCAGGAGTATGTTCACTATGAATATCCTCGAATTTTACTACCTCAAGTGTTATGCTATTCCCTGTTTGCCTATGTGTCACAGTTACTCTGTTACATCAGAGAAGGTACATGTGTCCCAGGAGTATGCTGTTCGTTTGTATGTTGAACTGAAAGCAGTTAATGCAGAGTATAGAACCATCAGAGAACTAGACAAGTGTCGGTATCATCGTTCTGTTCACATGCCTGTAGGGATACAAACTGCTAGCTGTAGCGAGGCACCAGGTAAGGCATTGCTTGCTGCACTGGTTGTTATGTGGCATTTACGCCCAGGAACTACCTTCGGAGATGTTCGAGCACCATGATATTTTCCTATGTGTTACAATACCATGTTACATATGATCCCCCTTTCACTTGCAGTTCTACTTTGCTGGATAACCCAGGGTTTTGAGCTGAATGCAGCCTTTTAATCCACAGGCAGTAAATCTGCTACATTCAGAGTGTTGCTATTAATGCATCATTTATAGTAACATCCTGGTAATCTTACTTTGAGTACATATGTTTTGCAGACCCAGGCGATCAAGATATGCAATAGAGTATTCCAGTGGATCAGGGATCTCACACCACCATTTTCTTCTCCGCCGTGGACTGCAGTTGTGTGCTGCGAGCTCCGATGGCAGAGCTCGTGGCCACCATGGTGGTCGGGCCATTGCTCTCAGTCGTGAAGGACAAGGTGTCCAGCTACCTGCTTGACCAGTACAAGGTGATGGAGGGCATGGAGGAGCAGCACAGGGTGCTCAAGCGCAAGCTGCCGGCCATCTTGGACGTCATTGATGACGCCGAGCAGACCGCGTCCCACAGAGAAGGGGCCAAGGCTTGGCTCGAGGAGGTCAAGAGGGTGGCCTACGAGGCTAACGGGCTCTTCGACGAGTTCAACTACGAGGCGCTCCGCCGCGAGGCCAGGAAGAACGGGCACTATGGCGAGCTCGGCTTCAATGCAGTAAAGCTCCTCACCACCCACAACTGTTTTACGTTCCGCGACAGGATGGGGAAGAAGCTGTGCAGGATTGTGCAGGCCATCGAAGTCCTTGTGGCTGAGATGAACGCCTTTGGGTTTAAGTATCAGCAGCAAGCACCAGAGTCCATGCGGTGGAGGCAGATGGACCATGTTATCTTCGATCCGAAGAAAATCATCAGCAGATCGAGAAGCCGAGATACTAAGAATATTGTTGGTACATTACTTGGTCAAGCCAACAATGCGGATCTCTCGGTCATTCCCATCGCTGGAGTAGGGGGCCTAGGCAAGACCACCTTGGTGCAGCTAATTTACAATGAACCTGAAATTCAGAAGCATTTCGAGTTGCTGATCTGGGTTTGTGTCTCTGACAGCTTTGATGTGGATTCCCTGGCTAAAAGAATAGTTGCATTTCATCTAGAAAAAGATGTAGTTGAAGCAGCAGCTTCCAAGAAAAGCCCACTGGATAGTCTTCAAGACGTACTAAGCGGGCATAGGTACCTCCTTGTATTGGATGACGTCTGGAACCAAGAAAGTGATAAGTGGGAAAAGCTCAAGGACCGCCTTACACATGGTGCCAACGGCAGTGTGGTTCTGACAACTACTCGTGATGAAGGAGTCGCAAAAATAATGGGTACAGTTAAACCCTATAATCTCGCAGCTTTGGAGGATAACTTCATAAAGGAAATTATCGAGACAAGAGCATTCAGTTTGCAGAAGGAAGAAGAAAGGCTTGCTGTGCTAGTTAATATGGTTGATGAGATCGTGAAGAGATGTCGTGGCTCTCCTTTGGCCGCAACAGCGCTGGGCTCTGTGCTGCGTACAAAGACAAGTGAAGAAGAATGGAAGGCTATATCAAGCAGAAGCAACATTTGCACCGAGGAGTCTGGAATTTTACCAATACTCAAGCTCAGCTACAATGACTTGTCATCACAAATGAAGCAATGCTTTGCTTTCTGTGCTGTTTTCCCCAAGGATTACGAGATTGATGTAGACAAACTGATCCAACTATGGATAGCACATGGCTTCATCCAGGACCACAAAGAAGTTAGTCCTGAAACCATTGGCAACCGGATTTTCAGCGAGTTGGCCTCAAGTTCATTCTTTGTGGATGTGAAGCAATTGAAAGCCACATCCTATGAACGCATGGTGGGGGGTAGTTATTACAAACGTACATGTAAAATCCATGATCTTATGCATGATGTTGCGCTGTCTACAATGGAGAATGAATGTGGTTTTGCACCCGAGGAACCAAATCGGATTGAGTGGCTTCCAGATACAGCTCGCCACTTACTTTTGTCTTGTGAAAAACCAGAAATTGTTTTGAATGGTTCTCTGGCAAGAAAATCTCCAGCTATTCAGACACTCCTGTGTGATAGTTATATGGAATACCCACTGCAGCATTTATCAAAATATAGCACTTTGAAGGCATTACAGCTCCATACGCGGAGAAGTCCATTCCCCTTCAAATCAAAGCATCTTCATCACCTAAGGTACCTTGATCTCTCAAGAAGTGATTTTGAAGCACTTCCTGAAGATATAAGCATTCTATATAACCTGCAAACATTGAAAATCTCTGGCTGTCAAGAACTGCGTCGGCTTCCAAGACAAATGAAGTATATTACTGCTCTCCGTCACCTCTACACTCATGGTTGTCCAAAGATGAGGAGCATGCCTGGTGACCTCCGGAAACTCATGTCCCTACAGACGCTTACGTGTTTTGTAGCAGGCCGTGCTGGCTCTAAGTGCAGCAATGTTGGAGAGTTGCAGCATTTAAATCTTGGTGGTCAGCTAGAGCTAAAACAGCTAGAGAATGTGACAGAAGAAGATGCAAAAGCAGCAAATCTTGGAAAGAAGAAGGAACTCCGAGAACTGACATTAAAATGGACTGTTGGTTCTAGGGATGATGCAAGGGTGCTCGAGTGTGTCAAGCCTCATCATGGCCTGCAGTCTCTAAGGATAGAATCCTACGGAGGCACCACATTTCCAACATGGATGGCTATGTCGCGAAACATGGTTGAAATCCATCTCTCCTATTGTAAAAACCTACAATGGCTATTCAGTTCTGGTGCATCCTTCAGTTTTCCAAATCTGAAGGAGTTTACACTTCGAGGTCTGGAATGTTTGGAGGGATGGTGGGAATCAAGTAACAAGGAACAAGGAAAAGAGGTAATATTTCCTCAGCTTGAGAAGTTGCATATTCTTGACTGTGCAAAGCTGACAACATTGCCAGCAACACTGCTTGGAGAATCTCACGGTAGAATGGCACGCTCAGCATTTCCTACATTGAAGGTTCTCGAATTGAGATACTTGAGGAGCTTTGAGAGATGGGATGCAGTCGAAGGACCTCAAGGAGCAGAGATAATGTTTCCTCAGCTTGAGGAGTTGTATGTTGCACACTGTGGAATGATCAAAGCATCATCGGGACAACAAAAGGTTTGTCCAAAGCTGACAATAAAAGCTGAATCACCAAAGCTACGTGTTTTAGAGATGCAGGGCAGTGAGGAAGAGATGTTCCTGTGGATAGCTAGACATGTGACTTCACTGACCAATCTGAAGCTGCAGAACTGTGAAGGCTCGGAAACAACCTCGGCAGCAGCGGCTGATAATAGTTTGAGACAAGCGATGAGCGCCATGGAGAAATGGAACCGTCACGATTTCCCTCTGGCAGACATGGAGTTAATTGGCTTTAAGTCAGGCATAACCAAGCTATGTGCATGCTTTGTACAGCTCCAACGCTTGTGCATCAATGATTGTGCCGCACTTGTCCACTGGCCAGAGAAAGAGTTCCAAAGCTTGGTATCCTTGAGGAGTCTAAACATTATGTCCTGCGGACAACTGGTTGGATACGCAGCCGAGCCATCAACAACAACATCAGAATCCTCGAGTCAGCTCCTGCCACGCCTGGAGTCTCTCAAGATATATGGCTGTACGAGCATGGTAGAGGTCTTCAGACTCCCCGCGTCCCTGAGGAAGATGACGATTCGCGATTGCGCGAAGCTCAGGTCCATATTCAGCAGCAGGATGCCACAGCAGGGACAGCCATCAGCATCGGCCATTGTTCAAGGCTCACCACCTGTATATTCGGAGGTGCTCCCATGCTTAGAAGAGATAGATATACGGGGGTGCGACGGATTAACAGGGGGCCTTGATCTTCCCCCGTCCCTCAAGCACGTAAGCGTCTATCGGTGCAGTGGGTTGAGGTCAGTGGAATCTCACTCGGGAGAGTTCCCGTCGCTGGAGAGCCTCTCCATCGGGCTCTGTGAGACCCTGTCATCCCTACCGGATGGCCCACGAGCATACCCGTCTCTCAGAATGCTCAAGGTCTACGACTGTCCGGGTATGAAGAGGCTCCCTGCTTGCCTGCAGCAACGCTTAGGTAGCCTCGAGGGGATAACTCTAGATGCCCATCATCAAGGTTAGTGTCCTTATCTATTTTAGCTGCTGCATTTAAGCAATAAATTCAGACATCCCTTGCTTCCAGATATATCCCTTTTTTTCTTAATTCCTTCCAGATATACTACCGCTAGTCCGCTACTGCTAGAGCTGGATTTATTGCTCCAGCTAGTGAGATACCTCATTAAAAAAATCGTGTCTCAATTTTTCCATGTTACAGCAAACACGCCTTGCGAAGGCATGTACAAGTGAGTATCATTTAATTGAGTAGTTAGATATGAATGGTAATAAGTACTGCAAAACCCAAAATCAGAGCAGATGTCCTTCTCATGTAAATCCTTTGTTCCTCCAGAACACACTTTAATTTCAGTGTAAACTTTGATGCTACATTAGTACTTACAAATTTTCTCGTGGCATCATTTGTGACCAGGACCTATTCTGTCGAAGCCCAAGACATGGATAAATGGCCTCTGTAGAGGTTAGTTGAGCTGTCGACATGTGTGTGACACCATCACCATGTGAAGCTACCAAGCAGCAGCAGGAGATGGTGATGCCCCATACATATATTTTGAGTTATCTTCTGGTGTCGGTTGTGCATGGTGGAACTGTTTCCTCACACACAACCTAGGTAGAGTAGAGCTCATGTCTGGATAAAGTTGGAGTATTTCACGCTCTATGGCAAGAATTCCGTGACACTTGGTTTAGGTATGTCTCTGCATTTCTTGTTCTAAATAAGTTTGCGATGACGTTTATACGTCTCCTTCAGTATTGTTTCAGTCAGAGCAAGTATGTAGAGAACTGGCCTGGAACGTTCATATTTGTGTGCTATGTAGTACGTAGTACTTAATTCTCAGTATATATGCAACTCCTTTATCTTGGACTTGCTGGTCCAGGATTTACCCCCAGCTAGCCTTGCAATTGATTCCTGCATGACGTGTACAGCTATTGTCTTACTTTCTGAAAGAGAAAAGGTGCTTGAACAACGTTCTCAGAAAAAATGTACATATTATCATTAATTGCGATGAAAGTAGGCAAAATATTTGAAATTCTCAACCAAATGCAGGGAGTAATATTAGTAGTATTTGCTCAATTTCATCGCAGCCTAATTATTTTCTTTTCTGCATCGTCCAGGCATCCATCATGTCATCATCTCTGTTACAAGAGATATCCCATTTGCTGGGATGCTACATGATTTCTGTTTTGCTAAGAGAAATTTGTGAGAATGTCACTGGTCTTTTGTCGAACTCTGGCACGCGCCTCCTATGACGACCCATGGCTGGGGGCGGCCGGTCGAGCTCCACCTCCGCCCCCCTCCTCCGATGTGCTGTTTGTCAGTGGTTTCCTCCTTGATATTTGGCCATGACAAGCGTATCATTCAATTAAGTTGCTCACCTATGAAATATTGGCAAGGACTTTGGGCTTCTAGCGTAAGGTTATGAAGTGTGGTGGGTTTGGGAAATTTCTGGATAACTCTCTTCCTCTCTAGTCTATACAATACATATACTGGTTTACATGGGTCATGTGGGCCAGATTCACACATATACAGCCCAACACTCCCCCTCAAGATGGGTGATAGATATCTATCATTCCCATCTTGTCACACGCAGAATTACACTCCTTGACACTTAAACCCTTAGTTAAACAATCAGCCACTTGTTCTCTAGAGCTCACATAACTTATCCTGATTATGCCATCATCTAACTTCTCCTTGATGAAGAAGCGGTCTATCTCGACATGCTTGGTTCTGTCATGCTGAACTGGATTATTAGCAATGCTGATAGCTGATTTATTATCACACCATAACCTTAGGGGATCCTTCCTTATTACCTTTAACTCAGAGAGAAGATTTCTTACCCATAACATCTCACTCAAGCCTTGTGAAATAGCTCTATATTCAGCTTCGGCTGTTGATTTGGACACCACTGGCTGCTTCTTACTTCGCCATGACACCAAGTTTCCCCCAACAAACACACAATAACCAGAAGTTGATCTTCTGTCATCCAAACAACTTCCCCAGTCTGCATCACAGTATCCATCTATATTAAGATGCCCATTCTTCTTAAACCATAGCCCCCTTCCTGGATTACCCTTCAGATATCGGAGGATTCGATAGACAGCCTCTAAGTGTCCACTCCTAGGATCATGCATGTATCTGCTCACCACACTCACTGCATATGAGATATCGGGTCGTGTATGACATAGGTAGATGAGCTTTCCAACAAGTCTCTGGTACTTCTCCTTATCCACTGGTTCCCCAGATTCAGCACATAACTTATGATTCTGGTCAATAGGTGTTGAAGCAGGCCTACACCCAAGCATGCCTGTATCACTAAGCAAGTCGAGAGCATACTTCCGTTGTGACAGAACAATTCCTTTAGGGGATCTAGCAATTTCTATACCAAGAAAGTACTTCAGTTGGCCTAAATCCTTTACCTCAAACTCCTTGCTCAGGCTCTTCTTCAGTCGTGATATTTCCACATCATCATCTCCGGTGATTATAATATCATCCACATACACCGCAAGGATTGTAATCTGACAATTTGAGTGTCGGTAGAATACTGTATGATCCCCATTGCACTATTTATATCCCATATTGCACACAGCACGTCTGAATCTATCAAACCATGCTCGTGGAGACTGTTTGAGGCCATACAAAGACTTCCTTAACTTGCATACCTTTCTTGATGTCTCGGGCTTTGAGAAACCAGGTGGAATCTCCATGTAAACTTCCTCATGTAAATCACCATGCAGGAATGCATTCTTTACATCTAACTGATGCAAAGCCCAACCAAAGTTAGTGGCACAAGAAATTAAGGTTCTCACTGTGCCCATCTTTGCGACAGGTGCAAAAGTCTCATCATAATCAATCCCGTATGTCTGACTATAGCCCCTAGCCACTAACCTTGCCTTGTATCTTTCTACCCTTCCTTCAGGAGTCTGCTTCACAGTATACACCCATTTACAGCTAACCGGTCGTTTTCCTGCTGGAAGAGGTACAATATCCCATGTCTTGTTCTTTTCAAGTGCTCTCATTTCCTCCAACATTGCCTCGTACCACTTTGGATCCTGCTTTGCCATTTTCCAATCTCTTGGAGTCACCACAGATTGCAATGATGCAATGAATGCTTTGTATCTCGGAGACAGAGATGTATATGATACGTAATTAGCTATGTCATGCTCAAAACCATACCTCTCTGGAGGTTTTCCAGCTCCAACTCGGGTTCCTTTCCTCCAGGCAATAGGCAAGTTCATTGAATCGTTTACATTAGATGGAGTTGGAGTGGCACATGTCTCACCATCAGACAATTCAACAATTTTAACACTTGTTGGAGCCTGTTGCTCCCCCTGCACATGTGTGTCACTTGCTATTGGAGATTGTTGTTGTTGCTGCTCATCTTGTAGTTGCCTCCTGGTATAGACCCTTAAATTTTCTTCCTCATTTGGCTTTCTCCATTTCTCTTCAGTCATAGGTTGCCTCCTGGTATACACCCTTAGATTTTCTTCCTCATTTGGCTTTCTCCATCTCTCTTCCCTTGCATGACATGGAATTGAACTAACCACAACTCTTGGTGGTTCATCTTCCTTTGTCCTTGGTGGTTCACTCCCGCCCTCTCGACTAGCACCACTCATGCTAGGAGAGTCGAAGTCAAATAACGAGCTGAGATCCGTTTTTTCTCCATAAAACGGTTCAGACTCCCTGAATGTCACATCCATGCTCACAAATGTTCTCCGCTCGCTGGGACTCCAACACTTGTATCCCTTCTGACCAGATGGGTAACCTATGAAGATGCACTTTACTGCTCGTGGATCCAGTTTTCCCACTGAGGGTCTATGATCCCGGACAAAGCAGGTGCATCCAAATACCTTAGGAGGAACTAAGAATTTGTTCTCACCTAGTAACATCTCACATGGCGACTTCATTCCAATCACCCTTGACGGCATCCGGTTGATGAGGAATGTAGCTGTCATTACAGCCTCACTCCACAAGAATTTTGGCACGTTCATTGTATACATTAGTGACCGAGCAACCTCCAAAATATGGCGATTCTTCCTCTCAGCTACTCCGTTTTGAGGTGGTGTACCCAGACAAGATGTTTGGTGCAATATACCTTGACTTGATAGGAATGTGACAAACTCCTTATTCACATACTCTGTCCCATTATCTGTCCTGATCATCTGTATTTGTGTATTGAACTGATTTTTCACATAAGCATAGAAATACTGAAAGCATTTAAAAACCTCATCCTTATGCTTCATAAGATACACCCATGTCATACGAGTATAGCAATCAATGAATGTAACAAAGTACTTCATTCCACTTAGAGAGATAACAGGACATGTCCACACATCTGAGTGAACAAGCATAAAAGGGGAAATACTCCTAAGACCCTTACTCACATAAGATGTCCTTGTGTGTTTAGCAAACTCACATGCATCACACACAAGCTTGTTCTTATCCACCCCACACATTACATCGGGAAAGACTTTACTCATCTTCTCAAAAGACATATGTCCCATTCTACAATGGTGAAACATTACCTTTGTTTCCTTTTCTCCCATCATTGTTTCTAACATCGTAGACACCGCATTATTTGGCACCTCACGATCCATGTACCATAGCCCATTACGCCTGGTTCCAGTCCCAAGCCTCTTCCCCGTTTGCCTCTCCTGAATTAGACATAAATAGCGGTCAACTATTACTCGACAATCCACATCGTCAACCAAAGCACTCATTGACATAAGATTGACTGGAAAGGCAGGAACATGCAAAACAGATGAAAGTTTAATAGATGGTGTGCATTGTATTGTGCCAATGCCTTTAATGGGTTGTGAGGTGCCATCAGCAGTTTGGATAGTCTCCTTACATGTGGGTGGATATGGAATATATGACTCAAATTCCATTGATGTGCCGGCAACATGCTTTGATGCCCCCGAATCTAATATCCAATCAGGATGTGATCTTTGTGAGAGAATAGATGCATGAGCACAATTACCTTCATCTGTAGATACAAAGTGAGCAAAGTTGCCGTAACTAAAATCCTCATGATCCTTATCACCTGTGCTTTCTGTTCTTTTCTTTGATTCTTCTTGGGTTGCGAGTGAGGATCCTTCTTCTAAGACTGCCACATTTGCCCTTTGACCACCAGAGTATCCCCGGCCTCGGCCTCCCCTTAATCCACCTCGGTTATATCCTCTCCCCCTTCCACGCATGTTCCTACGTGGAGCCGTGCAAGAACGAATCAAATGACCCTTCTCACCGCAGTTGAAGCACTCTCTGCTCTTATAGTCGGTTGCTATGAAGGCTGGATGAGATGGAGTCGTTGTATTGTTCTTCATCAACTTTAATCGGACCTCCTCCTGTGCCATTGCTGCTATGGCATCCTCTAAGGCAGGTAGAGTAGGTTGATGAAATAAAGTAGCACGTCTCGCCTCAAATTCAGAGTTCAATCCTTTGAGAAACTGCATCACTCGTCTGCGTTCAA